CCCCCCCGAATGGAAGCACCGACACAGACGGGCACAGAGACCAACGCTTTGCTGTCCCTCGGCGAGGTTGGCAAGCAAGCAGGAAAAGCTGAGAACCGGCTGTCCAGGGGGGTCCCTTTAAGCACGAGCCTCAGATAGCCTCAGACAGCAGCCACACAAAGCAACTACTGACCTGATGCCCTGCCAGAACCGGTTTCAGCTGCCCTTAAATGCCCCCCTGCGTCCAATCAGTGTGGACATGCTAGTTCGAACTAGCAAAACGCTAGTTCGAACTAGTTTTTAGTTCTAGATGCGTTAGTTCGAATTAGCGTAGTTCGAATTAACTAATTCGAACTAAGTTAGTTCGAACTAGCGCTGTAGTGTAGACGTACCCTTTCTCTGCTATATATTTGCATCCTGGACCCTTTTACTCCATTCATCTGAAGAAGTGGATTGGGCCCACGAAAGCTCATGATACCATCTACATTTTTTGTTAGTCTCTAATGTGCTGCAGGACTATTCTCTGGTTTTTAAGTTTTCCCAGCGAAAGTCATGTTGCAGTGTGAACGCTCATGCAGTTTTGTCATCAAAAGGCACTTTTCCACATCAAAATTTGCCCATGTAGTCAAATCCTTTGAGGCACAATTCTTTCCTATCATCCTTTTGGGGAAGGACAATTTATGTTCTGCCCTTTTCTCTATCCTGCACCTAAAGGCTCATTCTAGCGTGAAGTGACCAGGATGCTGGTACAGGCACACAATTTGATAGTTATATACTGTGTTTTGGTTAACAGGCTTGAGGATTTTGTTTTTAAATATAACCTTGACATACTCTGGTGTAGTTACCATGTTTGTTTGTTTAATTTTTTGTTTGGTTTAATCATTGTTTATTTATTCTGTTTTAGCGCTTATTCTTTTTCATCCTCTTAAACAACACATCAGGATGGTTTTCAAGAAAGATTTTGAAAATGATACATTTTTTCACAATCTGTTTTTTCAGTCTTGTTTTAGTTCTTAATTCTGTAATCAGGTCCCTGTAATTGTACCTTCCTGCCTACACAGTCAGAGGCTCAAACGACTATCAACACCAATCCAGTTGTAGGACTGAAGTTTTGCTCTTTACTCAGGCAATATTCCCATTGAAGCAATTGGATATTTTTCCTGAGTAAAATAATATTAGCTAACTAGATTGTCATCCATCTAAATGACAGAGCATAAAATGCAAACACCATATGAAGAGACTGATCTGGAGAAGGGACTCAAGAAAGAAGTTAATGAGCATGAGATGTCAGAAGAGACTCCAGGTGATTGCAGAAATGAAGACATCCAGGCAAACAATGAAAATAGTCTTGTAAAAACAGGTAAATGAAAGGAAAAGCTACACTAACACTTGACTATAGTGTTTTCTGCTAGTATTAATTTAAGGTTCATGTGGATACTTAATTTTTCTTAAGTAGGTTACATTTTGCCAATTGAACTTTCAGGCTTGTCTACACTATGGAAAAGATCAACCTCCAGAGGGTCGATCATCTAGCATTCAATTTAGCAGGTCTAGTATATTCTCCCAAATTGAACGCTGAGGGCATTCCCCACTGGCATGCTGTACTCCTCATTTTGTGAGGAATAAGGAAACCTAATAGGAGTGTGTGCTTCTGTTGGCCGCCCACAATGCAGACACTGTGATGGTTCAGCTTAAGATAAGATGAATCCAGGCATACCTTAAGATGACCTGCCTGGTCTACTGTAGACCAGTCCTTACTGTCCAGTGCTGCCTTTACTCACATAGCTACACACTGCATTGGGTTAAATCCTGTTCTGCTATGCTGGTGTAAGTAGGATCAAAATATGATCCAATATGAGCTTCTTCCTGCTCCCACTGAACTTGGTTTTGCCCTAATAGGAAACTCAATAGCCTTCAAGTTTGTATTGTGAACTTAATTCTGCTCTTAGTTATAAACAGCTTCCATAAACTCCCAACTGGTGTAACTGAAAGCATAATTTAGCTCTGTATATTTATATATTTGCTTAGCCCATCTTATTTATGACTCTCTTTAAATGGCAGAACTTCAGTCCCAAGCACAAAGTGTAGAGCCAGAGCCTGAGGAGGCAATCAAAGGTGATGTGAATTTACAAAGCAGCTCAAAGGAGATTTTGTATGATTACAGCACTGGAGATACCACAGTTGCTATAAAGAAAGGTAATTGTATGGAAAAGCTACACTAACAACTACAGTATGCTGGAATAACATGGATGTACTATTATTTTAATTTCTTTACATACAAGATTGGCAGACCTATCACCTCTAATTGAGAAGATAGCTTTGATATGCACCAGTCATATATCATTTCACTGAGAAATTATAAGAGCTCTGATATTAATGCTCCATTGTTACCATTCATTGTAACTATAATGGCAGAGAGAACAGAGGGTCAGGGCAAAACTGGGAGGCAAGGTCAAATCAGTATCTTAGATGCCTATATAAAAATGCGAGAAGTACGGGTAATAAGCAGGAAGAACTGGAAGTGCTAATAAATAAGTACAATTATGACATTGTTGGCATCACAGAAACTTGGTGGGATAATACACACAACTGGAATGTTTGTATGGAAGGGTACAGCTTGCTCAGGAAGGATAGACTGGGAAAAAATGAACACACTTGGAGTGAGTTGGAGATGGACATAGGAGACGGAAGTGTTGAGAGTCTCTGGGGGTATGTCTACACTACCCTCCTAGTTCGAACTAGGAGGGTAATGTAGGCATACCGCACTTGCAAATGAAGCCCGGGATTTGAATTTCCCGGGCTTCATTTGCATAAGCCGGGCGCCGCAGCTTCATTTGCAAGTGCGGTATGCCTACATTACCCCACTAGTTCGAACTAGTGGTGTAGTGTAGACATACCCTGGGTTAGGCTTAAAGGGGTTAAAATCAAGGGTGATGTCATGCTAGGAGTCTACTACAGGCCACCCACCCAGGTGGAAGAAGTGGATGAGGCTTATTTTAAACAACTAACAATATCATCCAAAGCCCAAGATTTGGTGGCGATTGGGGACTTCAGCTATCCAGATACATGTTGGGAAAATAACACCGCGGGGCACAGACTATCCAATAAGTTCTTGGTCTGCATTGGAGACAACTTTTTATTTCAGAAGGGTGAAAAAGCTACCAGGGGGATGCCGTTCTAGATTTGATCCTAACAAATAGGGAGGAACTGGTTGAGAATTTGAAAGTGGAAGACAGCTTGAGTGAAAGTGATCATGAAATCATAGAGTTCACAATTCTAAGGAAGGTTAGAAGGGAGAACAGCAAAATAAAGACAATGGATTTCGGGAAGGTAACTTTTGGTAAGCTCAGAGACCTGATAGATAAGGTCCCATGGGAATCAAGACTGAGGGGAAAAACAACTGAGGAGAATTGGCAGTTTTTCAAAGGAACATTGTTAAGGGCCCAAAAGCAAGCTATTCCGCTGAGTCAGAAAGATTGAAAATATTGCAAAAGACCGCCTTGGCTTAACTACAAGATCTTGCATGATCTAAAAATTAAAAAGGAGTCATATAAAAAATGGAAAGTAGGACAAATTACAAAGAATGAATATAGGCAAACAACACAGGAATGCAGAGGCAAGATTAGAAAGGCAAAGGCACACGGGAATAAAGGGAAACAAGAAGACTTTTTATAAATACATTAGAAGCAAGAGGAAGACCAAGGACAG